TCAGTCACTATCCTCCCTTGTGTTTATCCATATGTTGTAGTTATCCTAATCATTATAGGATTAGGATAATCATCCCCTTTATTGTTGTAATCCTTATCTCCTAAGGAATATGCTTTATTCTCTTTGTATGTATATATATGTATGTGCACGTGATGAATAAGATATACAGAGTTACAACCTTCTTCTTTATTTCACAACAAATCTGCTTAAATTCACAATTTTTTACTCTTAATAATTTGGGCCACATATTGGCCATGTAAAGCCCAATATTGAATGATTGCATAATAATCTTGTTGGGTCACAACATTGTTCCTCTTCATCGCTCTCGCCGTCGAACAGCCTCCGACGCCGCGTCGTATCCGTCCTAACTCCTTGTATCAGCTTAGACAGGTCTTCTTCGTAGGTTTCACTGTTTCATCATTTGATTCTCCATCGATCGATTCGTTCGAATATGAGAATGTTCCTGATCTGCTATATTTTCTGAAATGAGTCAAATTCAACTGTTTCTACGAATCCACATTGATCTTTACAATTTCTTAAGTTGGATGAATTGAATTGAGCAAGAAAAAACTTAACCACATGGACTTGATCACTGTTTAGTATACTAAAACTTTTTTGTATTGATTCAATATTGTCAGATGGCATGGCTTGTGGTTGCTCTCTCGCTGATTGTTATCTGGATCGCTTCTATTTTCAAAGTTTTCTTTGGAGCAACCTCTAGTTCCAACGCTGCGGTTCTTGATAATGGCAAGTAGCTTAGTTTCTTCCCTTTATTGCTGAATTTTATGATGATATCTTATTTACTTCAGGTAACAAGAAGAATGTTCTGTTCGTCATTGCACATCCTGATGATGAGTCAATGTATGATTCGAGGATGTATCTTTATCTTTCTGGATGTTGTTGGAATCAATGAAATGTTTAAGATTTGTTTTTTTTATTTGTTTGTGTTGGACTGAGAGATTACGCTTTTATGTTGTGGACAGGTTCTTTTCTCCAACAATAAACTACTTAGCTTCCAATGCCTACAACCTCCACATGTTATGCTTCTCCACTGGTACTTTCTTGATTGGTGCATTGCTTTCCTTTTCAGAGTTGTGGAACTGGTAAATGGACTATTCAAATTGCCTGAAGTATGCCGCGGTTTGATTTCATTTTGGATTGTTCCAGGTAACGCCGATGGTATGGGAAGCATTAGGAAAGATGAGTTGCATCGGGCTTGTGCAGTGCTCAGGGTAAATCCAAATTGTCAAAGAACGGGATCTATGATAGTTTTGCTTGTTATTGCAGTGAAGAAGTTGTTTGCTAATATATATATATATATATATATATATATATCGAACGTGATGCAGGTTCCTCTTCAACAGTTAAAAGTTCTGGACCATCCAGATTTACAGGTTACTGCTATTATATCTCCTCACATGTGTTACTTTTCATTCACCATATCCGTTTGATACAGGATTGAGTATATTATATTGTCACTCGCAGGATGGTTTTGGGCAAGTGTGGAGCCATGATTTGTTAGCAAAGATCATCGATGAAGAAGTCAGTAATCACGATATTCACACGGTATGACTCGGCTCCTGAATCATAATTAAAAGACACTCATCAAGATAAGACCCTTACAATATTTTTTTTTCCAACTGAGTCTCCGTGAACTGCTTTCAGATCATAACATTCGATAACTATGGTGTTTCGGGTCATTGCAACCACCGTGATGTGCACCATGCAGTATTGTACGTTAATATCTTGTAATCCATGAGTCTTGAAACCGCAAAATCATTCCTCATGGCTTTCTTTTACATGCAGAAAGTTCTTGCAGACTAATTCAGAAAGAAATATCAAAGCTTGGGAACTGGCAAGTCTTAATATCTTTCGCAAGTACAGTGGACCTATCGACATTTGGCTGTCACTTTTATCCTCCAAAAGTCATCCGAGCAAGGCAATCATCCTAAACGAGCAGCCTTGGAAAAGTTATGAAGCAATGGCACAACATTTAAGCCAATGGGTTTGGTATGTCACATTTCCCCAAAATATGATCTATGTTCTATCTCTGATCATGATGATTGTGAAGCATGATAACTGAAACACGAGAATCTCTGTCACGTTCTTTTGAAGATGAAAGCTTATTTACTTGTTGTTGTGATTGTGCAGGTTCCGGAAGCTTTTTGTTTCCTTTTCAAGCTATACATACGCGAATACACTTGATAGGATCAACCCTTAACCGGTTAACATTTGATGAATGCCACAGAGCAAACAATTTCTTACGAGGCAAAGGTCAAACAGTTTTGAACAAATGATATAGCTTGTAGTGTTGGATCATTAAGACAATTTGTTACTCTTTTTCTTGCGCATCAATATTAGTGGGAAAATACATTTCTGAAAAGTACTCTCGCATGTAAACACAACTACAACCTTATTGTTCTTTCCTTTAGAATTCAAAACAATGTACATTTAAATTATTTGAGGGTAAATATAATTTTCGCAGAACAAAACAAATTCATATAGGAGTTACAGTAAAAGAACCTGAAATGTAGTATAGTTCATGATCGTCTGCAACAAGTCTAGTATTCAACAAAATTCATCTTAGCTCAACATTCAGCTTCCTCTGCACCTCATCACGCACCTTACTCTGCATTTGAAAAACAAATCACCATTTTAACACTAACAAGCAATTAGCCAAATGCAACCTTCCCACTTAAAAATCTTTTTATGGTTGTATGGAGAGTGTCATTTAGCTACAAAAGGTTTCGAGTTGTTAACAAGTTTAAATGTCTTCTTTTTGCTGTATCAATGGTGAAAAGGAGAAGCAATAATGATTACCTGCAGATCATTAACCTCCTCGTCTGTAAGAGAGCGCTCCATGGAACGGAACACAATTCTGTAACAGTGACTCGTCATCCCTTTCTTATTGGTGAAACTGTCTATCAACTTCACCTGTGAATCAAATTGTAAAAAGGCTATAAGCATTCACTCCGAAGAACATAATGATGACACAAGTAAAGTAAAGTAAAGCTGAGTAATAAATCGAGTCCTGTAAAGTTAGCACTCTTTCCCAAACAAATACCAGTGAAAAGATATGTTATGTACCTCTTCAACAAGATCCCCAGCGATGCCTCTCACAACTTCACAAAAGTTATTCTCTGTGAATGATTCACTGATCCAGAAACTGATGTCCTTGTAACAAGGAGGATACTGCAGAACAACATTTTGTTTACCGCCGTCAAAACTTACAGGACAGATGAGTCTTTGAATGATATTCCTAGACATGAAGAATGTTTTACCTTTGAGAATGGCTTGAATTTGACTCCGAGCTCTCCTTTTCCAAACTGCACATAACATCAAACCACATTGATGTGAGAAAAGAACTCAAAAGTTTGAGAGCATAAACTTTCATCATCCAGTTTCGTAAGTTGCCAATCACCTGGGAAGTAAACCGTTCATCGTCTGACCAAAAAAGTCTTATATCAGGGATGTCAAACAAAACCATAGCAAGTCGCTCCAATCCAAGTCCAAAGGCCCAAGCAACATTGTTTTCTAATCCACTCTGCTTCAAAATTCTTTGCTCCGTCACCCCACAGCCCAAAACCTCTAACCAGTCTTCCTGAATCGATAACCAGATAAAGCTTGTTAGCTTGCTAAGACTGGTAGCCAAAACACAACTCCACTATATGTATGAGACTACACAAAAACAAAAGTATGTTTCTCTAATGCAAATCAAGTATTCTTCTACAAAATATACAAGATGGGAAAAGACTACCTTAAAATATATCTCAAGCTCGAAAGAAGGCTCAGTAAATGGAAAATATGTATCGACCCATCTCATCTCCACAGCACCTGGTAGCCAAAGAAAGCTTAAATCAAAGAGCAACAGATTCTCAAGCTTGTTCTATGTCAAATCGTTTCATCCAAATATCTGCATCTTCATTCTAAAGTTGATGCTATAATCACCCTATAAAACCCCCCCAAAAAATTACTACAAACTATCTGAAGATTACTTGTGTTGAATGGATCTAAATTTACCAAACAAGTGACGTGCCAACCCCTCTAGGCACTTCTTCAAATCCTCAGCAGCATATAAAGTGGAATCCTTGCCAGACTGGTTCCAGTCCTCAGGAGAAAAGACACAAAAGCCTTCCATCTGTAATAAGATTCAAGAAAAAAACATAAACATCAAGTATAAGAAACACATGAATGATGTTGAACAAAAACAGCCAAAGTGAAAAAAACTCACACCTGATGGAAAACAGGATAATGAGTAGCATCAATAGAATCTCTACGATAAACATCACCAGTAACAAGAAAACGTCTATGACCTTCCCTCAACAACTCAGCTTGGTGAGCACTAGTATGACATCTCAAAACAGTTTGGGAATCAACATAGTACGTGTCGTTAAGGCTCCTGCTAACATGATCAGCAGGGACTAGCACATCATCAAAGTTCTGGTATCCAAAAAAACAAAAATTTGGAAAGTTTATTTCCAAGTTAAAGTTAAAAGCTTTGAGTAATGGGGGGGGGGGAATACACCTACTTGCTTGGTGGTAACAATTGGTGAAAGATCTTCGAAAGTCTCAAACTTTTTGGTGTAATTGGACTCGAAATAGTTGTAGATAGCATTCTTTAAGATGCCAATAGGATGCTGGTCACGTCTGTGTAGCTGCATTCCAAGTTTGGAGAAGATGGAGTCTGGTACATTGTTTGTAGGATCATCATCTCTCACCACATCTACAAAACAAAAAAAAAAGGTTAAACATTGATTTTTTTCAATAAACCAATGATTCTGTGAATTAGAAGGACGAAAAAACCGTTTCTAGCGATTGTGACGCCGCCGATATCAACGGCGGAGACGATGGGGAAGCGGCGCTTCTTCGTTTTGCGGAGAGGTGGGGAGTGTAAAGCGGTGGAGGAGGAGAACGAAGAAGCGAAAGAGAAGCGTTTGAGTCCATTGCTAGAGAGAAGAGATACGGAGGCTCGGGTGAAGAGAGTGGAGTGAGCTGAGAAAATGGTCATCGCGTCTCCAGCTCGGAGAGTTAACACGAGATTTAGCGAGAAACACCGTCGGTGAAGAGGAGAGGAGACAAGCCTCCTCCGACGAGATTCGCGGTGGGGACGGAGAAGAGAAGAAAGTCGCCGATTAGGGGGGGGAGAGATGACGTGTCGTAAAGTAGCAAAAGGTTGGAAAGGAATTAAATTCAGTAATTTACTACTATACCCCTTCTCTGAGATTACATTTAGTAAATTGCAAATTTGAACCCCTTATGTTTTTTACAAATCACGGATTGTGATTATGATTTCTCGGGAGTTTGATAGATTTCGCATATTCGAATCCAGGGTGGGGTTTTCTTGGCGGGTCGGGTCAAATTCCGGGGCAGTAATGAAAAAGAGGATGCTTGTGTGTGTTTTGCAAGTGAAAGTCTCTTCAGCTAAAAATGGGAGGGAAAGAGAGAGAGAGAAGAAGAGAATGTCGTCCACAGGAATGGCGAGATCGAAGGGGAGCTTCTGTATCACTCTCTCCAGAATTCTATCATACGCCCATGAGAATGAGAAAAAAAAAAAAAGGAAAAAGTAAAATCATTATTTATTTATTTTTTTGTTGTCTTCTTGAAAGGAAGGTCTCATAGCTCCGTCGAACGGAATTGCACAAGAGGGAGCTAGATCCACAGGTATTCTTCTTCTCATGGGATTTTAGCTTTTGTTAGCGGCTATGTAGTTACAATGCGGGGATGGTTTTTAATTTTGATCCGTGGTTTTAATTGTGGAACAAGAATGAATCTTTGTAATATGTACTGAAAATGATAGGGTTCTTACGGGATGGCTGAAAACGTAATGGTGGATTCTCATGTATGGGTGGAAGACCCAGAAGTGGCATGGATTGATGGGGTTGTAGTTGATATAAAGGGTGACCAAGCTACTGTTAAAACCAATGATGACAGAGAGGTACAAAACACTTTTTATTTTTATTTTTTTTATTTCTTAGTTCAGAATTCTTCACTTGGTGATCTTCAAGGAAAGTTGTTTTTGTAGTCCTTTGTTGTCATGTTAGAGAAATGATCATAGTGTTATAATGGCAAAATATTACTCTGCCTAGTAAACCTTAGTTTCTTTTCTGGAGATTTGAAGAAATGGATGTAATGCACTGAACATCTAATTGTTTTCTTCATTAATACATCCCTTACCATGTTTCAACTTTGTTGTTGTGATACTACTTATTTACCAAAATGTTGGTATTGCTTTTAGTTGTTTGATACAAAAACCATTAACCGGAGCTTCACACACACCATCATGCTTTAGTTCATTTGAATGCCATTTATGGATCTTACTGGTGCTGTCTTGCTTTTCACACTTCTGATTACTTTTGCTATTTCAGGTTGTTGCTAATTTATCAAAACTCTATATAAAAGACGATGAAGCTCCTTCAGAGGGAGTAGAGGACATGACACGATTATCTTATCTGCATGAGCCTGCAGTCCTCGAAAACTTGGCTATCAGATATGGGCTGAATGAAATTTATGTAAGAAAATATTTCACTTCTGGTTGCAAACCTAATATTTTCATCCTACTCCTTGGTAAAACGCCGTAAGTCTGTTATAATATTTTGACATCATGACAGACTTATACAGGAAACATTCTTATTGCTGTCAATCCCTTTCAAGGACTCCCGCATCTTTATGATGCTGAGGTTATGGAAAAGTACAAGGAAGCCTCGTTCAAAGAGTTGAGTCCTCATGTTTTTGCAATTGGTGGCATTGCATACAGGTGATTACGAGTCTTTGTTCGTTCATTTCAGTCATTGTTTTCTATAAGATCGTCAGAAGTGTTTTTTATATTAGTTTGAGAAAATTTTCAACAGGGAAATGATCAATGAGGGCAGGAATAAATGTATATTGGTTAGTGGTGAAAGTGGGTCTGGAAAGACAGAAACGACTAAGGTGCTCATGCGGTACCTTGCATTCTTTGGAGGGCATACTGCAGGTGAAGGAAGGACGGTTGAAAACCAAGTTTTAGAAGTAAGTTGTGATGAATTTATTCTCCTACTCTTAGAGGATGAGCTTTTTCCCCTTTACCTGCTACGTGGAAGCCTTTTTTCTCCCTTTACATGCTTAGAAAAAAAATACATTTTTCTTTGTTAGGCTTTCTTGAGTATACAGGCTTGAGATATATCCCTGCATTGACATCCTTAGATTGGACCTTCCTCATTATGCGATACCACTTGGGTCTGTTCTCTTGGTTTTGGATCTAATTCTTTATGCCAATTGGATCATGTTACAGTCAAATCCAGTTCTCGAGGCCTTTGGAAATGCAAAGACTGTTAAGAACAACAATTCTAGGTATAGTTATTGAATGCTTCCATTTTTCTCCTTCTCTCACTTTGTTTATCCTCCTCGCTCTTTTACCTGCTGTTAGTGGATGTTAATGCCTTTTATTGTTGCAGTCGTTTTGGGAAGTTTGTGGAGATTCAATTTGATGACATTGGTCGAATATCTGGGGCAGCCATCAGAACCTACCTCTTGGAGAGGTCCCGTGTTTGCCAAGTTTCAGATCCTGAACGGAACTATCACTGCTTTTACCTCCTTTGTGCTGCTCCTCCAGAGGTAGGTCATCTAAGTTGTCCTTACCTATAACCAGATGACTCTTTAAAGTGCAATAATATCAAATTTTGCAGGATGTTGAGAGATTTAAATTGGGGAATCCTAAGTCATTTCGCTATCTTAACCAATCTAGCTGCTACGAACTTGATGGTGTAAATGATGCAGAGGAGTATCTTGCTACTAGAAAAGCTATGGATGTAGTTGGAATAAGTGAAAAAGAACAGGTTTGCAAACTCTTCTTTGCAATTTACCTATCACTTGTTGATTGCTATATATGAACGACTTATCTTCTTTTGTCTCTCCAGGATGCAATTTTTAGAGTTGTTGCTGCCATTCTCCATCTTGGAAATATTGAATTTTGCAAAGGAGAAGATGCTGATTCATCATCTCTAAAAGATGAACAGTCAAAGTTTCATCTCCAGATGACGTCAGAATTGCTCATGTACCTCTTCTACAACTCCAACTATATTCTGATTTTTTTTAATGCATGTATTTACAGCTTGTCATTTTAGGTGTGATTCCCATTCCTTAGAAGATGCTCTGTGTAAGCGTATGATGGTCACCCCAGAAGAAGTTATCAAAAGAAGTCTTGATCCTCTTGGCGCTGCCGTTAGTAGGGATGGTTTAGCAAAGACAATATACTCTAGACTCTTTGATTGGTAATTTTTAATGTCAACGTTCAAATATTTCTTTTCACATGCCACTGAGGGTGACGTCTGCGAAATCAGTACTCATAATTATTTTCCAGGTTGGTGAACAAAATAAATATCTCTATTGGCCAAGACTCTCAATCTAGGCGCTTGATCGGAGTCCTTGACATTTATGGTTTTGAGAGCTTTAAAGCCAACAGGTGATGGCCGAGAGCATACATGGCTCACTCTACAGGGGTGATTATCTTAATTGTCAAATTAAACCAAGTGTCCTCGAATCTAATAGATGAATATTCAGTTCATTTACTCTGAGCTGAGATATGATAAAACACATTACTTCCTCCAGAACTGTGATCTTAGGAAATGATGTCTTTGTATAAGTTTCCAAGATTAAGAGATATCTATAGTTTCACTTTATAATCTGGCCTTACTTCAGTTGTTGACTGACTTGATTATATTGTCCATGCAGTTTTGAACAATTCTGTATTAATTACACGAATGAAAAGCTGCAACAGCATTTCAACCAGGTATGAGGCCAGTCGTAGGTTATGGCTCAGATTCTGTTAATCTAAACTCATTAATATTGTACAGCATGTATTCAAAATGGAACAAGGTGAGTATGAGAAAGAAGAAATAGATTGGAGTTATGTGGAGTTTGTAGATAATCAAGAAGTTGTGGATCTGATTGAAAAGGTTTGTTTTATCCTTTATCTTCTTTTTTTTTAATAAAGACAGGTTCATGTCTTGATGTGTGCGACCAATTTCAATCTTTTGCAGAAGCCCGGTGGTATTATTGCTCTTCTAGATGAAGCATGGTATAAAAAAAAATTTCTCTACCTGCAGCTGTACTTTAGTGTTTCGTCTCCAACCACTGTAATAATGTGTTATAACTTACACGTTTATTCTCTCTGCAGCATGCTACCCAAATCAACTCCTGAAACATTTTCTGAGAAGCTGTATCAAACATTCAGGGATCATAAGCGCTTCATAAGACCAAAATTGACTCGATCAGATTTTACATTAGTTCATTATGCAGGGGATGTAAGCTGCATTTCACACTCTGCTGCTTTCAGAATTTTAAATAGATAATATATGGCCTTTAAGGTGTCTTTCCATGTTCTTTTTTTCAGGTTCGGTACCAGTCCGATCAATTTTTAGACAAAAACAAAGACTACGTTGTTGCCGAGCATCAGGATATGTTAAATGCTTCCAAGTGTTCTTTTGTGTCAGGCCTTTTTCCTCCTCTTCCTAAAGAGAGTAGCAAATCTAAGTTTTCCTCCATTGGCGCTCGTTTCAAGGTGACTTTACTGCAAATTAATTGACAATTTTAAACTAAAGGACTGACATAAGAACTTGTCGAGCTTTTGATGCCATACTCACCTCTGTATGGGCTGACATGTTCAAGTAATTGGTGCAGCTACAATTGCAACAGCTGATGGAGACACTGAACTATACAGAACCGCACTACATTAGATGTGTGAAGCCAAACAACTTGTTGCAGCCAACAGTGTTTGACAATGCCAATGTCTTGCATCAGTTACGCTCTGGGGTCAGTGTTTCATTCTAATTGTTGATATTAACATGTTTTGATGATGTCTTGAGGTGTGATATGATATTTGTCTTTTGCAGGGTGTTCTTGAGGCAATCAGAGTGAAGTGCGCTGGATATCCAACAAATAGAACCTTCATCGAGTTCTTAAATAGATTTATCATTCTTGCACCGGAGATTCTGAAAGGAGAGTATGTATCAGTTCTACCCATCAAGCTTTAACTTTCTTCTGCTCTTGTCTGCCTTATTGCTCCTGGAGTTTGGTATCACTGTTTCCTTACCTTACACTGTAAGCAGGTACGAAGCAGATGTTGCATGCAAGTGGATTCTGGAGAAAAAAGGGCTTACAGGTTACCAGGTAAGGTTCCTAGGAAGTTGAATCCCAGTTTTGCATGAGTTGAATGCATCTTAAACTTTAAGTATACTTTGAAATTTGAGTTTCTCAGATAGCATATTCCCATTAGTAGCGTTTTGATATGATATCTAATTTGCAGATTGGAAAAACCAAAGTTTTCCTGAGAGCTGGTCAGATGGCTGAGCTAGATGCACACAGAACAAAAGTGCTCGGCGAAGCAGCGAGGATGATTCAAGGACAAGTTAGAACCCGTCTGACAAGAGAACGATATGTTCTCATGCGGAGGGCTTCAGTTCAAATACAGGCTAATTGGAGAAGTGAGTTATGGCTTTATGATTTCATTTAGATTTTCTTTTTCCGTTTTGTTATCATTGAATTGCCCGGGGAATTAATAATGCTGATAAAGTCTCTCTTTCATTTTTTAGGAAATCTAGCAGGAAACATATGCAGGCACATGAAAAGAGAGGAAGCTGCCATCAAAATACAGAAAAACTTACGTAGACAGGTTGCAAAGAAAGAGTATGGAAACACCAAATCTTCGGCAGTCATCTTGCAAAGTGGTGTCCGGACAATGGTTGCACGCCATGAATTCCGTTATAAATTGAAGTGTAAGGCAGCAACTGTGATTCAGGTCCTTTTCTCATGACTCTGTCTCCATACGCTCTTACGGAACCATTCTATCTCAAGAAACGGAAATGACTAATAACTCTAGGAAACTTGCAGGCGTACTGGCGTGGTTACAGTGCTTTATCTGACTACAAGAAACTGAAAAAAGCTTCTCTGGTTTATCAAAGTAAACTCAGAGGACGAATTGCCAGAAAACAGTTGGGACCTTCAAATCAGGTATTCTAGATCTATGCAGTATCTAGAGATGAATAGAACATGTCTCTTCTCATTAGAGGAAGAAGTATATGGCTTGAGTTGATATTAAAACATGGGTGTAGGCTGACAAAAAGAAAGAGACAGAACATGAAAGAGAGTTGGAACTTTCCAATAGAGCGGAAGAAGCAGTTGGTTCAGAGCCAAGTGATGATGCGGAGACTGGAGAGGAACAATACCCGAAAATCTTCATCCGAGCAGATAGTGGACTTGATAAGTCCTTTGTAGTGCCTTCAGAGCAAAGTGGTGATGATGAGATAGAACATGAAAGACACACAAAACGTTCCATCCAACCAGATGATGGAATTGAAAAATCCCTTGTTCATGATTCAGACCATTCCATCCTAACAGAAGATGGAACTGAAAAGTCACTTGTTCTCGATTCAGAGAAGCATTACAACAACTTTTCTGTTGTAAGCCAAATAACAAATCCTATTCGTGATACTGAAGTTGAATCCCTCACTGCCGAAGTTGAGATGTTGAAGGTAATGTTCCTAACATTTTTGAACAGCTTCTAGACATGACATGCCAGTTATCTCCAGATTTTCATGCTGTTCTATTTATTATACTCGTCAGGCCTTGTTGCTAGTTGAGAAACAAAGAGCTGACATTTCCGAGAGAAAATGTTCTGAAGCTCGAGAACTTGGTGAGAGAAGACGCAAAAGATTAGAAGAAACAGAAAGAAGAGTTTACCAACTACAAGACTCTTTGAACAGGTATTATTGACTCAACAACCAGAGATAATCTTAGATCTATCTTCCTTTACAATTAATATTTGTGTCTGTGAAAAACTTAATATATGGTTTTAGGTGTACATTTAATGATGTCTTGTTTAGTGTATTCCAGGTTGTTATATTCTATGTCGGACCAATTCTCGCAACTAAAGTCCATCTTAAGATCTCCTTCTATGTCTTCAACGATGGCTACAGTGCCAGTTGTACGTGATGATCTTGGTGACAGCTCAGAGAACTCTGAAGCTTCATCAAGTGATTCTGATTTCACTTTTCCGGCTCCATCTACTTCTTCTGCAGATAACTCAAATCTGCAAGTCATAGTTCAAGATCTATCAACCACAGAAGCCAAAGGTCAGTGGTAATAGTAGCACTATAGTCCCATGTCTATGAAACGAAATAAGTAACATTATAGAGTAGACAACAAAATGGATTGTTTTCCATAGTCAAACACTTGGTTAGTTTCTTCTCCTAGAAATATAGATGTTGATTCGTCTTTTCATGGGTTATACTAGCATCTAAATCCACCTTAATATAAAAACATTCTGCACAAGGTATACATTGTTAATGGAACCATCCTTCTAATATTGTAGAACAATAATGCTGCAGGAACAGAGAACTTTGACAATGATAAGGAAAGGGGGTTTGAAGATTACTTTTGATGATGAAGCACCGATTTGATCTTCACCAGATATTTTGAAGTGCTGATAATCTGTTTATTTCATTGTTGTACCAGAGGGCAAGTGTCTTTGTGTTTACAATTAGTTCAGGTTCTGTGTTTTATGCTTACAAAAGCTATGTTTGTTTTCTCAGCTAATACAATTGTTACTTGATTCTACAGTAGAATGATTCATTTGCTTGTTGTGCAAATGTGTTGTGTGTGATAAAAAACATTTGTTTAACTAGTTCAACAAGCACCAGTGGTCTAGTGGTAGAATAGTACCCTGCCACGGTACAGACCCGGGTTCGATTCCCGGCTGGTGCATAAGTTTTTGTCATTTTTTGCCTGCCCATTTCAAATCGGCAAATATTCTACTCTTCGCTGCTTCAGTTTCTTTAACGCACTGGAGTTAAAAACAGTATAAAAAATCAATCACATGAAAACAGCATATGATGCACTGGATCATTAACACTAGAGGCATATCATTCATTACACATTTACACATGCGGGAGCCAACAGGGATGATGAAAATATAAGATTAATGGATAGATGTTTAGAGTACTCTGGTTTGTCAGTTTCAACGAGTAAGATAGTAAATGACTAGAAATAAACCCACAAAGGATGCCACGAGTGTCAGCATTCTTCGGCTTGATTTTGTCTCAAACACCTGAAAGGATTCAATTGAACATTAGAGAGGCTCTACAGTTGGCATAGTGATGCTAGGGTAAGGGAGATTTACTGTTTTAAACCGGTCCATGGTTCCTGAGAGAATTCCCCTTGATGAATCCATATCATTACCCTACAACATATTACAAACCTTCCAAAATGTTCAGTAACAATAGCATCTCTGTGATAACAAAGAAGCAGAAAAAGGTTGAAAAATACCATTCTGTCAAGCATGCGGTTATGAGTATCCACCTCTTCATTTATATCGCCAGAAAGCTGTTCATGAGAGAAAGACACAAATCAGAATCATATAGAGTCCAACTTACATGTAACAATGCTTACCAACAATGTGAAACTATGTTACAATTTCTATTCTACAACACTATGGGGGCCTTGTCTCAAATGAAATGCAATACTATGTCACAACTTACAACTACGTTTATCATGCCTTGTTCCATCTACAAATTTTGGTGCTTTGATGTGACATTATACTTGCAAGTTTCATCCACACTGAGAGAAGAGAAGAAAGAGGCTTACTCGTTTCAAGAGAATGACTCTGTCTTGCAACCCTTCCAAGGCACGCTCGTTCTCATGCTCATCAATTTCATGAGAGCTGTAAGAAGCAGCTCTGATTCCTCCCTCTTCAATCCCATCAAAGAGCGCACTTCTTCCACCACGAGCTCCCTGCAAAACACACACTCGGATCATGACTCTTCTTTTTTTTTGAAAACACTATGACTCCTTAGCAAGTATGAAACTACAGCTTCAATTTAAGATCCAGATTTTGAATAATTATTATAAGAAAATTCTAAGCTATACGAATTCATTGGGAGTGATCTATACAGAGAAACAATCATACTCTATCCGGTGAACCCTAATCTACGAATATACAGTTCCAGGACTCGCCAGATCATTTCTATTTCCAAAATCAAATAGAACAAAAACCATTTGAGCTTGGATCTAACCTTCTAGGATTCATCGATCAATCGGATTCTCAATTTCGCTTCAGGATCTTCGAATTGAGGAATAAAACGGTTGAAATGTCGCTCTGTGGGTTAATCTCTTAAGCGAATCAACCCACTCAACAGACAGACGACACATGTTTTAACTTCGCGCGGGGGATTATAGAAGAAACTATGGGCTCTAATTACAATTATCACATTATGGAAAAATGACCTATTTATTAGTCGTGCTTTTTCTTCCCGAACTTTGTACTAGTGCGCATTTCATATTGAACTAAATAAAAACTTAAAAAATACTACCTGAATTTTGTTTATCATGTCTTTTCATTCCCGAACTTTATAACAGTGCATATTCCATACTAAACTAAATAAAAGTATAAAAATACTACATGAACTCTCAAAATCGTACTTATATATATAAACCATCAAATTTGTTAGTTATCCATTAATTTATCAAAATGATGTCAATTTCGATAAGTTATATAAAATAGAAATTTTAAAATACTACATAAACTTGAAAAATCGTGCTTATATATATATTAACCATCAAAGATGTTACACATCCGATAATTTATCAAAACGACGTCATTTTTTTATAAATTCTGTAACTTAGTTTAAAATACAACGCAAACTATTAAAATTGTGCTTATATATATATATATTGATCATCAAAGATGTTAGTCATCTCTTAATTTATTAAAACAACGTCATTTAGAATAAATTCTATAAAACTAAAAAAATTATGGGATGTTCAAATTCTCACACTAATGGACAAGTATAAAATGAATATTTAAATAAATAATTATTAAGTTATTTTAAAATAATAATTTGTAAATTTAAATTTAAAACATAAATAATTATAGACTGATTTGATAAATTAAAAAAAAAAAACAAAAAAAATTGATAACATTTATTTAGAAAGCACTCACTGAGTTACTTACGGAATCTCAATGCATCCATTTAATGCATTCTTTTCGATCTTGTACCCACAGAGCGGTCGACTGAACACCACAAAAATCTCGATTCAAAAAAAGGTACATGCAACTAAACCTGTGAACTCAGATATTTGATTAAAAACTTATATAGGTTAATGTTTACACAATTTATACGAGAAAGTTACCTTGGTCTAGTAATTATTATGATCTTACTTGTTCATCACTGTGAAAATTTGAACCTCTCAAAAAAGTATTTTTAATTTATAGAATTTCTCCAAATTATGTTATTTTCATAAATTAACTGATGAATAATATCTTTTATGATTAATATATATATATATATAAGCATGATTTTGCAAGTTTATGTAGTATTTTTAATTTTATAAAAATAATCTAAAATGACATCATTTTGATAAACTAACGGATGACTGACAAATTTGATGGTTTATATATATAAGCACGATTTTGAGAGTTCGTGTTGTATTTTTATCCTTTTGTTTAGTTCATTGTGAAATATGCACTACCATAATGTTGAGGAAGGAAAAATGCACTACCATAAGGTTGAGGAAGGAAAATGCACGATTTGTAAAGTTCATATAGTACTTTTAAGTTTTTGTTTAGTTCAGTATGGAATACGCACTACAACCAAGTTCGAGAAGGAATATGCACGGTTGGTAAAGTTCATGAAATATACCATTTTCCCCACCAAAAATAGAGGTCCCTCATATTTCTTTTTGTTTCTGAATAGGATCACATATAAAAACTAAAGAAAAAGATAAGCTTATGGGGTCAATTTACAATTATAAGCTTATTAGTGGAGCAAACAATAAATTTAGTTATTACCAGAATCTTTTCCTCTTTATTTTTTCACGAATCGGATTCTCTCCTCTAGACTAGCATACTAAAACCCTAGTCTCCGTCGTCCTCGTGCCGGAAACCCAGCTAACGACTTGTGAGATGGCATCAGCTTCACCGACGGAGAACGGCGGCGTAAGTAGTAACTTGGAGAAGTTTCTCTGCGAGCGATTGTTGGATCAGTCGCAGCCGATCTCAGAGCGATTCAGAGCTCTCTTCTCTCTCCGCAACTTGAAAGGACCTGCACCTCGCAACGCTCTAATCCTCGGTTTGTTTCAATCTCTTCTTCTCTATTTGCTTCTTTTCAGTTTCATTTGCACGTGAACGAACCAAAAAGATTGTTACTTTAGGTATAACATTTGAGAAATTATCTTAGTAGCATGAAATCAAAAGTAAAGGGGGGGGGATTTGTTGAAGTGTTGTTGTGGACTCTCTTGTATTGCAAAACAACATTGTAAAGATTCAAGCTTTGGTTTATGAGGATGTGGTTGTCATGTTTTAATTTTCCTTCTATTGCAGCATCCAGAGACTCATCCAACTTGTTAGCACATGAAGCTGCGTTTGCGTTGGGGCAGATGCAAGATGCTGAAGCGGTTCCTGCTCTAGAGTCGGTTCTTAATGATATGTCTTTGCATCCTATAGTACGCCATGAGTTGAGTTTAGCTGATGATATCCTTGTGCTAGAGTCTGTTGTTTTCTTCTGTATCAGTACATGTTACTGATGCGATGTTTGTGTTTAACAGGCAGCAGAAGCTCTTGGAGCTATTGGTTTAGCGGGTAATGCTGATATTTTGAAGAAAAGCTTGGTCTTGGATCCAGATCAGGAGGTTCGGGAGACATGTGAGTTAGCTATCAAGAGGATTGAAGAGCTGAGTAGTGTCGATGCGGAGAAGAACCAGTCAGACACGACAGAGAGGTCACCTTTCATGTCTGTTGACCCTGCGGCTCCAGCTGCTGCTTTCTCTTCTGTCCACCAGCTGAGGTTCTTTTGAATTTGACCAGCTCAAAAACTTTTAGAAGATGATTTTTCCAGTTTGTGACAGATCATTGAATTACACAGGGAGATTCTTCTGGATGAAACGAAAGGCATGTACGAGAGATATGCTGCTCTTTTCGCTTTGAGGAATCAAGGTGGAGAGGATGTTGTTTCTGCTATTGTTGAATCTTTGAGTGCTAATAGTGCCCTTCTACGTCATGAGGTTTGTCAAGTTTTGATGGCTTTCAATTTTTGGTCATTGTTTGCTATGTTCACGAAGTTGCATGAGTCTTTGTCTGTTAAAGATCATTTCTCTTGAATGTTCGTCAATTTGTTTAGGTTGCTTATGTCTTGGGCCAATTGCAAAACAAAGCTGCATTGGATACTCTAAGCAAAATACTGAGAGATGTGAATGAACACCCAATGGTTAGACACGAGGCTGCAGAAGCGCTTGGTTCTATTGCAGGTATCTTTTCTCCATCGCATGAACCATCACAACATGACTTGTCTTTACTTAAACTCTTGCATTGTTCGGCTATTTTTCAGATGAGCAGAGCATCGCATTACTACAGGAATTTTCAAGGGACGCTGAACCGATTGTTTCACAAAGCTGCGAAGTTGCATTGAGCATGTTGGAATTTGAAAATTCCGGAAAATCATTCGAGGTAATAATTTAATCTCAGACTCTTACTCTAGGTGAAAAATCTGTAATGAGTAACGACCCATATCAATACATGTTTCTGCAGTTCTTTTTCACTCAAGACCCGCTTGTTCACTAAGGATGCTTCAACCATTCTTCGTCAATTTACTTACAAGGGAACTCAAAATAATCAGCAAGCGAAACTTTTTTTTACATGAGAGAGAAGAAACTGATACTTAACATTTCATGTATGTACGATTATCATATTGGAGTTGAAGGTGAAGATACATTGTATTGATCAGTATGGAAGCTTTCCATTGTTTAAGAAAAGGACTGAGTTTTGCCCGAACCCATATTTATCAATGTTTTCTGTTCTAAAAACTAAGTCCACATAAAGTTGTGTCTTTGTGTTTTTGTATTTTAGGTTTATATGTAGACGCATAATTGAAGAATTTTTTACTCGGTGGAACATTTTCACTTTGCAATTACACCTCGATACATAGTGCTTGAGACACATTTTTGACTATAAAAAAGGTCATAAATAACTTTAACCTAAATTAAATTTAGGTTAAGGTTGTTTAAGCTAAATTTAGTATGTAAAAGTTTTGCTGTTCAACAAAACTCTTACGCCGATTAAAAATGAGATATTCTGTCGGTTAAAATTGAGATATTTCTTCTTCTTGTCTTCAGTCTGATATATTTCAGTATAGATTTAACTTTCAAACAGTATGGAAATCTCTTCAATTGAAGAATCTCGACATCCAAAGTTAGTTTCATAATTCTTTTTTTTCTCTAAAGATCCAACCAATTTTAATAATTATGGTATGTATGAAATTTGGAGTTTTGTTTTCAAGTGTAATGAGCTGTGGAAATGGAAACAAAGGAGGTCTCGTGATTGTTGGTTGATGTGTCGTATATGGGTTGGTTTAGTGATTGTAGATCATGGTCGTGTAAGAGGTGATGAATTTTTGGGTTGTTTGGGTGATCTTTAGTGGATGAAGGATTTAGTACGTTTAAAAAGAGGAGTTGTTGGACTTGTTGAATAAAGATGGAACTTAGGATTCGTGGATGACGGAGTTGTGTTCACTCAAGATGTGTTCGGATATTTGATGGATTTCAAGACTATTTGGGTGATCTTTAGTGGATGGAGGATTTAGTACGCTTAGAAAGGAAGTTGTTGTGCTTGTTGATAAAAATGAAACTTAGGATTCATAGATGGCTGAAATGTGTTCGGGTGGTTTGTGAACATAAAAGATGCAGAGAGAAGATGTGTTCGGCCGAGATGTGTTCGGGTGGTTTATGAACATAAAAGATGCAGAGAGAAAAGATAGCAACAGAAGAAGTGTTGTGGTCATGGACTGAAGAGAAGTGGATATTGATATTGGAGCTGCATAGAACAAAAGTATGGACATAAGATATTGGTAGCAAGAAGAAATGTGTGGACGTGATGTGATGAAACGAGGAGAGAGAGATACTTGCGAGTAACCACAAACAATCAAGTTAAGAGGTGTGAGGGTAAAATAGTCCAAAAAATATCAACTATCCAAAAAAGTGTCTCATGTTACAAATGTCACTACATGTTAAAGTAAACAAAAAAGTGTCTAATATGATAAACAACTCATAATTGAACTATAAAAAACTCGTTTGGTTCAGAAGATACAGAATCACATGTACAAAATTTCTGCAAGCACCGAACCGGAGATAGTTAGCATGCTGAAATTGCATTTTGTATCACCACTTCACCAGTACCAAGACCAAAACATGCATAAAGAGGGAGAGTACATACAGCTTAGGTAGCCTGATTTTTTGGCCCATGAAATAGCTTCTCGGTAACAAACGCTGAACTTATTTAAGCCCATTTAGTAGTAGCCCACTAGGATTTGGTGGGGTATTTACGTCTTGTGACGAGGATACCCTAAACCTATTAATGTGTATATATATGCTCCATCCAAATTAATATTCCAGACGGCTTAGTTTCAATACACATTCAGTGTTCGCATTTCAAGTTTTGAATTTAATGTGTTCGTTTTAGCTTAGAGGATTGATTTTTATATGAGTCTTTGTAGAGAAGTAAAGAGGAATATGATGATTGAACTATTTTTGTTCCCTATTGGTTTGATAGCCGATATGATGGCATCTTATGTATTAGCTCTATCTGATCCTTTCTTATTTCGTATAAATTTCAATGTTTTTTTACGTTCTTTTTGGGTTATATCTTTTTAGATGTTTGGTTCATAAAAAAGAGAGAAATAGAATGGAGTATGATGAATGTTGAACTTTATTGTTCCCTATTGGTTTGATTCGCCGGAATGATGGCATCTAACGTATTAGCTCTATCTGATTACATTCTCTTCTCTTCAATATAATCTGTTTTTTTTTAAAAAAAAATTCTATTCAGTTTAGATGTTAGACTATTTTGGGATTCGGCTTAGTGTTTTCATTAGAACATCAAAAGTGTTTGTTTTACTGGGTATTTCGTCTATGTTTTTAGCCTGGTGTTACATATTTGCCCTCATGTCTTCAGTCACCTGTACATCAAAAAGTTTATACTTTTGAGATTGAAACAGTTTTATCGTACATTGTGACTTGAATATGAAAACCGAACCACCTGTTGAATGAAATGCCAAGCTGATTAATGAGTGTGGGTCTTGTTGATTTGCGCCAGTGACTTGATGTTATAAGGTGGTAGAGAATGGAATTAACCGCTAATCTCAACAGCTGGTAAAAGTCCCTATCTATTTAACCAAGCCTAGATGCTCTGTTCCAGTTAGTATGGAAAATCTTGGCAAATTCCAAAATCCATCACGTTCTCTCGAGATGCTTGTGTGTGAAACAGAAGCATATAAACTAGTAAATGAATACAAGTCAGCTGCTTTTTCAATGCCCTTGTGCCAGACTTGTTCGCCATCTCCCCCTGTTTCATCTCCTCCTGGTTGAGAAATGTCAGTCTCTTTGTATATAACAACCTCTATAGAGTTTTGTCCACTGCCCAGAATCACCTGAAGGAAGCAAACTCTTTTAAGTTTAGTACATTTGATAGTATGGAGATTATGGAAGGCTAGCGCAGATGCAGAAGTGTGGGACGTAAGAAGTATTTAAGTGAGTTCTGCCATCTAGAAATGTTCAAAAATGGCTACCTCCCTCGCATAACTGGCTAAAATGTAATCTTGGTTGATCCCTGTCCGAGGGAAAGGAACAAGTGCAGTATTAGATGTACCTTAAGGAACCATGAAGGCAGAGTACTTTAGATGTGAGCTAGAGCATTACATATAAAAGTACAAAATGTCTGGACCATTTGGTCCTTTTATTAACGCCACATATTCTTAAAAATGTTAAGGAAACCTTAAAACATTTAGATTTATTCACTTAGTGAGTTTCATTCAAACAATATCCTCGAAACCAAGTCGAGCACTGTCGGAAACAGCCTCGTTTTCTTCATTCTTCAGTTCAACTTCAAGCTCAAACAACACTCGTCTCTGTTCCACAATCATTCTGTGTAGCTCTCTCATGCGAGCACCACGTGCTTCCATTTTCTTCTTCTTCACGCAAAGCTCTTCAAGTTTCTTCTTCAACCAATCCAACTCAAAACCTACCCCTTCCAGATCTAAAAGCGTGTTCTCAGCATCTCTTAGCTCCTCTTCCGTGAGCTCTTGAGGAGCTAAGCAAGCTCTGTCGATGAGGTCGAGGAGGGTGTTCATGTAAGCATTCTTCACCAACTGGTTCTTTGGACGAAGATTCATTGCGGTTTCTGGGTGTCTTTCAAATATTCTTCTTACATACTCTACCTGACAACATGTTCGTTGTAAAAAAACACAACCAAAGTGATCACTGTTAAGTGAAACAATATGTGTTCTTACCTCTGAATAGAGAACTCGAAAGCCATTAAACTCCACTGTTCCATCGCCGTTCCACATGATACGAGCTGAGTTGTTCTTGAATACAGAGAAGTTGTATTTACAGATTCAGTAACTGGAGTTCTGTGTTTGAGGAATGTCTTCTTGTAACTGAACTATATGTATTAAATTAGATGCGTGTATCCCAAATGAGCGTGAGCTAATCGTAACTTAATACCACTACCTAGACATAACTAATAACATATGGAACTGACTAAATTCTCTGTTCAGACAGCCAGAGATAGTTACTTCTCCATCAAGAAACACATTGCAATTAAAAAACCGACTCTTCCGTGTGCCATACTAATTGATCAAGAAACATAGGTGCATTAAAGTAACCTAACGAGTCATCAACCACAAAAAACTTATTTACAAGATGCGGATGTTTCCAATCCATCACTTATCTTCCCGAGTTTGAATACGACTACCAAATTGAAACCAAGACAGGACGAGCAGAGACTAGAAAACCAAACAGAACTAAAAATCCAATCGACTTAGAACACAATCGTAGCCACATCAAACAATATCATCGAATGATAAGGGAGCTCTGGCCACAGACACATCTGCTTTCTCCTTCTCCAGCTCAGCTTCCAGGTTTGAGAACTTCAGCTTCAAATCCTTCAACTCTTCCTCTATCTCTTTCATCCTTTTCTCGCCAGCTTCCTGTTTCTCCTTCTTTTCTGACATTTCTTCCAATTTCTCTTCTAACCAATCTAAATTCATCCCTGCGTCTGTCAAGTACGCAAGAGAAGCATATGCGTCATTCAGATCATCCTTGGAGAGCTCCTGAGTCGATTGGCACAGCGTCTTGATTAGGCTGAGGAGGACGTTGATGTAAGCTGTCCTTAGATGGTGATTCTTTGGACGGAACTGTGATGCAATGTCAGGGTGTCTTTCAAATATAAGACTCACGGATTCCACCTGCAAGTTCAGAATGAATAATGTAAAACCTAATATTCATGGGGGCAGTTATCAGAGACTTAAAAATACTCAAAGCAGACCACAACATACTTCCTCATATTCTGCAACTCAAACATAAATATATCAAGAAACGTTTTGTACTTTCTTATTTTCACTGAATTGTTATTTGATCTTCTAATACTTCAACAGCTATTTACAAAACAGAAAAACACATCTCAAAAGGCACTGAATTATAGAACACATGATCCCGTCTCTTGTGGTTGGAATTTCTACGAAATAACAATAAAGGTTGGCACCATTATTCGTTACATACCTGTGAATGAAGAACTTGAAAGCCATTGAAGTCTGTGCTTTCACTTGCTGAAAGCTCAAGAAAATCACTACACTCCGCACCATCATCTTCCTCTACCTCGCTCAGTGAATTGGTTTCCTCTTCAGTTTCATCTGGTACATCTATTTTTCCAATAACCTCAAGAACATCTACCTCAGCAACAATCTTGAGCTCTCCGTTTACCAGGAATCCACCATATCTATCATGAATTTTGCCAAGTGGAAACATCGATGTAAAACCCCAGTCGCAGTCCCGCCAATGAAACCAGTGCTCTGTAGCTGTTAAAAGAAAACCCTACATCTTATCATTGACTTCACATATACTTCAATTATGAAACCAAATCCAAACCAACACGCTTTAGCAACATAGAACTCCAGCTCAATAACATTGTTACTGTCTACATGATTATTTGTGTATATGGTCATACTGTCAGTTTTTTTTTAACACTCACCTCTAATTTGGGTGAGCTCTTCAGAAACTTGATTCACTATACTTAAGTGCAGTTTCACTCGTCTTCTCCATCCATCAGGCAATGATTTCCTACCAGAAACTTCCAGATACAGAGACAAATACTCAACACCATTTCCTTTAGGAAAAGCAAGAAGACGCCTTCAAGAGAAAAAAAACAGAGAGAAAATGAAAAATAAATAAATAAATAAATAAATAAATGGAAGAAATTTATAGAAAAGTAGCAATCTTTTTCCTACCATTTGCAGCCACAAACAACGAACTCGTCAGAGTAAATTTTCTTGGATTGAAGAGAGAAGTTCCTAATCACCCAAGTGAACTTATTATCAACTTCCTTCCCCATTGATCTTGTTAGACACTCCTATAAATTTGTCGAACAATCAAGCAACGATTTCGCGCTTAAAACCCTAATTTCGAGATTCTATAAGCTTGTATAACAATCTTCAATTCCAAAATTTAAACAGATTATCAGAATCAATAAGTAGAAGGAACTACCTCTGAGAAAACGCGTGGAAGAGAGAATCGTTTAGGTTAAGTTCTCATAAGAAACTGAGATGGTCGCACGCGCGAGTGAAAATATCTAAAAAGAAACTTCATTTGGTATGAGGAGGCTTAGGTCTGCGCAATCAGGATTTCAATCGGCCTTTGGTTCGGGTCATTCGGTTTTTGATTTTTGTTTTTTTTTGGGTTTATAAATTTCAGTCTCATTTAGATATTATAAAAATTTGGATCAGAGTCAATATAGGTTCAGTCGAGTTCAGTTCAGGCTTAATTACATGTCTAAGATCTGATTGAATCCAAAATAGTTTCAGTTTCAGATATTAATCAGATTATCGGTTCTAAAATACTAAATTTTTATTTGGTTAAATTTAATATATTTTTAATCATTTCAATAAAATGTATTGTTGTCTTTCAAATTGAACATAAGAGATTTGCCGTCAAATTATACATAACAACATTAAACATATCATGATTCATAACAAACTAAAATCTTGTATGCATGAAAATCATAAAATAATGAAACATAAAAAGTTAAAATTCGCAACTAACAATTTTATAAACGTAGGAAACACAATTTAAACTTTAAAACAACAACATTTTTTAAATTTCAAAATATATTTATTAATAACTAAAGTTCAAATTCCATATCAAACATAAAAACATTAATATTAACCAAATAAAAATATATATTGGATTAAGTATTTGAGTTAACTATTCATCTAAGGGGTTTTTGCAGATTTGACCTGAAACTTGAAGTCAACCACAAAACTAACCTCCCTTTTTTTTGGAACTTAAATTTGCCCTATTCACCCCACAAGTTCATATAATTCACGAAAATGCCATCAAATTTTTTTGATTTTTTTTTCCGAAAATGACACATTTACTCTCTCACCCTCATCATCTTCAAGTAATTACAAGATTGCCATTGTCATCAATACTCCAACAACCATGAACAACCAATTTTGAAGCTCTTAATGCCTCCAAATTCCATTTACCCTTCTTCTTTCTCTATTCTCATGAACTAAACAACACATTACAACACATATCTCTCACTTTCTCACAACA